ATTTCAATCAGTTCATCAGATTTGTTAAATGTTATTTGAAAATTTTTCATACGATTAAATCCAATTATCTTTCTTTCTTTCTTCTATTATTTTTTCTTTTTTCTTTTTTTTTTTTTTCGAATGAACTAAACAGAAATGCATTAGAGATTAGATGTTGTTAGAAATTCACGGAAGAGGAAAAATACTACGTTTACGTGATAAAAATAAAAAGGAAAAAAAAAAGAAAAGAAAAAAAAGAAAAGAAGAAGAAAAAAACAGAAAGAAAAAAGGAAAAGGATGAAAAACAAAAAAAAAAGAAAAAGAAAAAAAGAATCGCAGGAGGTAGGACTTTAATGTTTACCGACAAAACGAGCACGAGATGTAAATCCATCTCGTCTCTGCGTGACGTCCACAGGGCGTATATTAACGCTTCGCGAAACCGTCGTGCAACACGATTACTTCTAAGTGGAGTGCCATGATGCGTAATAAACGCGATAAATAATCGACGAAACAAGGCGAGATAATCTATCCTTTCCTTTTAGATGTTGATCTTCCTAAGCTTATTGAGAAATTAGATGAAGTTAATCCTTAATGCCTCGTATGAAATATTTTGAAATTTGAATTTGGTCGTTGATACATTTTTCATTTGGGAATTACTTTTGGAATCATAGATCATACCGATTATCGATCGTATTGTTTTCTTAATGTAAATAAAATTTATTCGTTAATGCGATTTAATGTGCATTAATTTTTTTTTATGCGTGTCTCTCTCTTTCTCTCTATCTATATATCACATATATATATATATATATGTGTGTATGTGTGTGTGTGTGTGTATATAATTAATGTATAATTGATGTATAATTGATGTATAATTGATGTATAATAAATTTGTTTACACAGGCAATCGAAGAGATGTTGATCGAAGTATACCTAATATTTTTTGTCTAATCTGTCAAGTCAAATGTCAAGGATCGTAATTAAACCTTCGCTAGGATGATATTCGCATGATTTCGAGAGAGAGAGAGAGAGAGAGAGAGAGAGAGGGAGAGAGAGAATGTACAGACATTAATACGACTCGAGAAGATAGTTTGTTTGCTTTAGCTGTACAACCTTTCTTACATGCATCATCGTACCTGCTTCGTTGGATTATCAACACGAGAGAGAGAGATAGAGAGAGAGAGATAGAGAGATAGAGAGAGAGGGAAGTTATTTCAGGGTTAAGGGAAGCGTGTTTTACCGAAGAGCCTTCGGCAGAAATGTATGTGTAGATGCTAATAAAGTCCAACTTATTTTCTTTTTTAGTATTCGCCGACAGTTAATTATAACAGTGTACTCTATCCTAGACACACGCGGTCTTGTCATGACTTCGTTTGAGAAAATGATGATTTATGATTGACGTCAAGGATCATATGTTAATATTAACCGTTTATATTAGTTCTTCTGTGGAGAGGACTATTAGAATAGTATAAGCAAATTTGATATATATATATAAAATATTATTTTTTTAAATAATAATTATTTGCATTTCTTTTTAGCCTTTTTTTTTTTTTTTTTTTTTCAAATTCCAAGAAAAACAAAGACATTGATAATTTACGTTTAAACGTTCGAAACATAAAGGAATAAATTTTAATTTTACGAATTAAAAATAAACGAATTCTCGATCAGATTGAAAAATAAAATTTATGATAATTTCTAAATGTCTAACGTAAAACTGCGTAACATAATAATTTTTTTTCGAACGGGTATAATGAAACGACATAGGAAGATAATATCTATTATGATAATCAATGCAACAAATACGAAATATTTAACTGTTATTCTATGCTTGGAAATTAAGCGGGTTTGATATTCGAATGTTCTCGGTATAAACGGAAAAGGATTTCAGGAAGGTGTCTTATAGCTAACAGGAAGCAAAAAATCGAGATAAGTTAAAGGAAAGGGAACGGTGCTGTCGCGATAAAACGTTAGCCCGTTAGAAAAGAATATACGATATTGAGACCGCCTTTTCTCTATGTATCTATGTCTCTCTACCTTTTCTATCTGTCTATCTATATATATATATATATATATATATATATATATATATATGCATATATATGTAAGTATATATACTTAAGAGCCGTAAACCGCGACTTAGGCTCGCGTGGGAGACTCGTCTCGAAGCGTAGGTAGGCAAGCGAGCAAGCAAGCAAGCAAGCAAGCAAGCAAGCAAGCAAGCAAGCAAAGGGCACATCGAGATAGCAAACGTTCAGCACGAATCTTCTCCTTTTGAAAAGTCCTTTGTACCATCCGATCTATTCTCAAATATTATTGAAAATATTCTTTATGAACGAAGATGGATTTACAATTTTATTTTTTTTTTTTTTAGATTTGTTAGTCTGATATAAATGAGAATGCTGATGTCGAGCCGACGGGTAACAAGATGGTAAAAAGAGAGACAGAGAGAGGTGGAGAGAGAGAGAGAGAGAGAGAGAGAGAGATATATAAAATTATGTCGATATCATTGATAGTTCTTTAG